TAAAAATATAAATAATATGTATATATATATAATATACTTATAATTAATATCATAAAATAATATGTGTAATATCTGTATATACATTATATTATTAAATATATAATTTAAAAATAATAATATATTATAAAAATTATTTAAGTTAGACATATTATAAATAAATACATTGAAACAAGTTAATTTTTATAACGAGTCCAATTGATGAACTAACCAAACTACCAATTTTTGATTCGATGTGATTCAGTTTTTAAAACACCTATTCTTATTATGGATCAATGATTTTATAATCCGGACAGACTGATTAGCTCGACTTAAATTAACTCATTTTATTTATTTTCTATTGTTATTCAACTTTTACCGTAAATAAATAAATAAACTTAGGATCATATTTGGTTAACCATCATATAGATAGTGTGGTTGGCTAGTTTTTTCTTCCATTCAAATATCTGCAATGAAGATAATAGATTTAGTTAAAATTAGAACCTGGAACTGGTTAAGGACAAGACATAAAGATTTTAGGTACGACTTTGCTTCTTGGTCCATGAATCTAACAGTTTGTCTCACCTAAGTAAATATATCCAGGTGGTAAATGAGTCTATTAGAAAAATCTGATTATGTAATTTTTATTTCAATGTTGTGGACTGGATGTGATAGTCTAGCTTAAGTTCCTAATTGGGGAACGGTAATTTTAGTTCACATGTGGTATTTTGTAATAGATTTGAGTATCCCTTGTACTTCTTTTATTTTCAATTATTTGAATTATAAAAAATAAAAAATAAAAAAAGGCTTCAAACCTTGAAATTATTAGCCAGTCAGATTTTTTAAGTCTGACCCACCAAGCCATCAGGTAAGCTCTTCGGACCACATATTTTTTACGCTACCCGATATGATTGATTGCGCAAAGAAAAATAGAAGACAAAGAAATACAATGTTGATGATTTTTTTGGTTGGGATGTCTAGTTTCATAATTTTCACCCAACGTGTTTTCTTTATAATAATAATATTATTATTATAAAATATCTATCAATTTTATAAATGACTACTCTTTAAACATTTTTCAATCCTAAACTTTAAGTCTTAAATTTTAAATTATATTATTTTCATCTCTAAAATATGAATTCAAGACCTTATTTAAAGAAATAAAATACACATTACAATAAAATAGACTTTTATGACATTTAATATTATTTTTAGTAATAGTAAAAATTGTTGTAAAATCTTTTACCAATATTTTTACATTAGTATTACTAAAATATTTTGCATGCTAGTAAAAATCTTTATAATAATCAAGAAAAATATATAAGTTTTTGTGACATTTTTATTGGCATTTAATATTTTTTATTATTGCTACTAAAAGTTTAAGAAATAATTCATAATTTATATATTCTTTAATTACTTTATATCTATAATTGATGTGAAACTATCTTTATTTATTTTTATTTTTTTTAATTATTTCATCCCTTAAAAAATATAAATTTATAAAATGAAAATTATTTTTTACTTACATATTTTTTTTATGAATTTTTTTTCAATACATTCCCTTAAATATTGAACTTTTTAGCCAATCAAATTTCTTCTTTTTAAGGCTGACCCACCAAGACTTCAGGTAAGCTCTTGGGACCACATATTTTTTACGCTACCCGATATGATTGATTGCTCAAAGAAAAATAGAAGACAATGAAATCCAATGTTGATGTTGTTGATGTCTTGTTTCAAAATTTTCACCCAACCCGATATGATTGATTGCTCAAAGAAAAATAGAAGACAATGAAATCCAATGTTGATGTTGTTGATGTCTTGTTTCAAAATTTTCACCCAACGTGTTATTTTTTTTTTATAACAATAATATTATTGTTACGAATATCTATCAATTTTATAAATGATTAGTCTTTACATATTTTTTGTTGCTAAATTTTAAATCTCAAGCTTTAAATTATATTATTTTCATTTCTAAGACTTGAATACATTTTTAAATCATAAATTTTAAATTATATTATTTTCATCTTTAAAATATGAATTCAAGAACTTATTTAAAGAAATAAAATGTACACTACAACAAAATAAATTTTTAGTGATATTTAATATTATGTTTAGTGATAATAAAAATTACTGCAAAATTCTTTATCAGCATAAATTTAGTACCAATTATTCTTGTAAGATGAGGGTAGTCTTCTACTTATATATTCTTTAATTTTTTTATTTATTTGATTGTCTCATCTCCTAAGAGATGTAAGACTTGTAAAGTGGGTTATTTTTTACTTGCATACTTTTTAATGGATTTTTCCCGATACACCTTCTTAAATTTAGGATTATTGAGCCCCTCAAGTTTAAGATTATTGAGTTTGGTAATGATGAGTGATATTATAGGTCTAACTTAACCCTATGAAACCAACTTATAAAGTAAGAATTATTTTTCACTTATATACTCTTTAATTATCTTTTTTCTTATCGATGTGAGACTTAAGTTTTTCTTGATAAATAATTGTCATTAATAATAAATTTTAATATAATATAAATACATTTTTAATAATTATTATACACTAATTATTAATATTTTTATTAGATAATAAAATAGAAATAATTAATTTATGATTATTAAATAATTATCGTTAATAATAAATTTTATTGTAATGATGCTACTATCAAAACAACGTGACACTATATGTTGAATATGATAGGCAAAAATATATAAGAAACAAAACAAATATAAAAAAAAATTATAAAGATGTTTAATTAAAAAAAAAAGAAAAAAAAGAGATAGGTTAAATTTCATACCTGAGGATCAAAGACGCTGAGCCAAGGCATGTAATCTGCAAGATTGAAAGCACCAGCCAAGTTCATGACCTCATAAATAAGCCCTTTCAAATCGAACCTATGATCAATGGCACGCCCCAACACCATCTTACACACGATGTTCTCCATGAGCTCCCCCAACAACTCACTCAGATCCACAACCTCACGTGATGCCGCTGAATTTTTCAGCGACTTCACCAACGCTCCCAACTCCTCTCTCCTTAAAGGAGCAAACATTTCAATTTTTGACGCACTCAGAAGCTGTAGAGTGCACACTTTCCTCGCGTTGCGCCAGTAAGCACTGTACTCAGAAAACGACATGCCCTTGCTGCCATGAGAAAGATACTCCGACAATTGAATTTTAGGTCTGCTGGCAAAAGCAATGTCATGGGTTTTGAGGAATAGCTCAGCGGTTTCAGGGGAAGAAACCACTATGGCTGGAACCTGACCTAGCTTTAAGGACATTATAGGTCCATATTTTGTGGCAAGGGATTGAAGGCTGCGATGTGGGAGTTTTCCTAGCATGTGGAGGTTACCAATAAATGGCAAACCCTTCGGACCTGGTGCATTTTTCTCATGCCTTTGTTTTGGATGTACCAATAATATGAATATCATCACAATAACGAGTATTATTGTAGGGATAACTAAAGTTTCAACAAACATTATTTCTGATAATTGTTTGCTTGATTGGAATTTGGAAATACTGAGATAGAGATGGTTGGTTTCCTTGTGTATTTATTTATAGACGGGATTTTTATTAACGTGAAAAATGCAAAAGAGATGTTATGGCAGGTAATTGATTTTTTAACGTCACTAGTACAAAAGAGGTGTATTACGTCGGACATTTTTAGCTTTTTACGTCAGAAAACGTACCGAAGTAGAAGCGGGAGACGTAAATTTTACGTCGGATCTTCAAAACCGACGTAAATTTACGTCGAATATTAATACAACTGACATAAAAAAGTAGGAAAAAAAATAAAAAATAAAAATAAAAATGCCAGCAGAACGGCCCGTTCTGCAAGCAGAACAAGCCATTCAGTTTCATATAACAACCCAAAAGAAAACGCCCACTACCTACACAAATAGAACAACCAAAAAATCAAATAAAACAGATAGCCAGAGTAGCAATGCGAAGTAGAAAAGTGCTAACGAAACCTTGATTCATACCTAAGAAGCAGCAACAATGTGCAAATGAGTAACAAAGAGTTCATTCCTCTGCAAAAGACAAAAAATCGATTCAGTAACAAAGGAGAGGAGAGGGTTTAGAGAAAAAAAATGAAAAGTGATGAAGAGTGAATGGGCGCGGTGTGCCTCGCGCTCTCTTATTCAAATTTGCGTTCTTTTTTACGTCGGACCCTACCAGGTCCGACGTAAAAAAGTTCGCAAAAATTACAAAAATGCCACTGCGTTTTTTTTACGTCAGATTTTCGTATTTCTGACGTAAAAGGGGTGACGTAATATGCTAATTTTCCACTAGTGCGTCTCTTTTTTTTTTAAACACTTTTTCTTTTGAACATGTAACAATCTATCATAGTCTTCAAACTGCAGAACAATAACTAAACAACAAAAATATATACTAAAATAATACAAATATATAAACATATATACAACACAAGTGGCCCAAAATGCCACAAATATATATATATATATATATATATATATATATATATATATATATATAGAGAGAGAGAGAGAGA